CCACAAAGGGTTAGAAGTCATAAAAATGAGGGAGAAGCAGTTGAGGAAGAGGAGGTATCCTGATACTGCCGTGGCAGAATCAGAGCTGAAGGCAGAAAGCCTGCCAGGGTAGGAAGAGAGTTGTGCAAAGAAAGGTTCCTGGATGCCAGGCTGGGGGAGGGGTTAAAATGCTGGTTGAAATGAGGGTACAAACCAGAGCGAGAAGAGAGTGGCTTCCAGTGGGAAGGTCAATGTTTTCCAGATTCCAGCACTGAGCAGGGAGAGTTTTAAACCTCTTGCTCTGAAACAGGGTCTGGGTAAAGCAGTTCAGTATCACGAGGTAAGGGAGGGGCACAATGGAAAAGTGAATCTCCATCTTGGTCCTCTGAGATGCCCTCACACAGAGCTTGCCAGACAACAAGACTCCAAGGAGATTTGGTTGTTAGTGACAATTATGGAGCCGAGACTGAATAGGAACCTGGGCACAGGAAAGAGGAGGCAGAGATCAAGGAGGGGGAAGACTTTGGAGAGTTCAGAGCCCCAAAGAGCAAAGACATGAGTGGGGGGTGGGACTCCAGATCCCAGAATGGAGTGCTTAAAGCCTGGAAGTACGAAGAAAACTGGGGTGGGGACCTCAAAAGCTTGAAAGACCTTGCAGTGTGCAGAGGCCAGAAGTATGGAGACCACAGGGTTGTTCCCAAGTGCCCTGAAGACCCTGCAAAGAGTGAAGGCCCTGAAATAGAGTCAATACAGCAGGGAAGGAGATCTCAAGTCTGAAACAGTGAGGGACTCTGAGCCCCAAAGCATCAATAAAACCAGGGTGTTGGGTGAGGGTCCAGATCCCAAAAGAGTTTAGAGTGCTTAAAGCCCAGAAGTAATGAGAAAATCGAAGATCTGTGGCATGGAATCCTCACAAGATGGTGGAGGATACAGAGCATAGAAGAATCCAGAAACAGAGGAGGGGGATGAAGGACGGAAGGCCAGAAGCTGCAGGAGTGTGCAGGGCCCCTCCAAGGATACATTTACATGGCAGGGCATTCTTCACAGCTGCAGAACTTCCCCTTTCCTCTGTCCCAGTTAGAATTTGCCCCTTGAAGCCTCCTTCCCCATAAAATGGATCTGGATTCTATTCATTCACCAACCTCAGCTCTCAAAAAAGCCATTTTTACTCTGTTCCCTGTTAAATTCCCCCTCCAATTAGGTCATGTCTTCCCAAGGCACCCATCGTTTGTCCCGATTCCCCCTGGAGATTCCCCTACTGAGGCAGGAGTTTCTCACACACCCTCAAGATTCAACCCCTGAAGTTCACCCTCAGAAGTCACCCCATGTTCTACACTCCTGTAGGTTTACAACCCTCAGCATCTCAGACCCCATGAAAATCTTCTCCCCCATCGCAGGGCTTCTTTCCAAATTGAGACCCCTCCCCTCCTTCCAGTGCAGCCCAAAGACTCACCCCAACATAGCCAGTACATCACCAAAGAAGCAGCCATGAGACCACACACCAGCTTACTAAGACTTTATTTCTGCAGTTGCAATGTTTTGTGTTCATTGGGGAGGAGGAGTTGAAGCCTGTATTTCCACAGTTTCAATGTTTTGAGCTTATCGGGGAGGGGTAGTTGGTGAGAGGAACCAAATGTCATTATGAAGTTCCTTGAACATTGTTAATGGTTTCAGAGGAGCATGGTCAGTTCAGGGACTAAAATGGGAATCCTTTTTACCTCTTGAAGACGACTTTCATAACGGGCAGGATTCAGTGTTAGAAACACATCCACGGTCACTGCTGGTCACTTGCCTCAATGCATCACTTATTAAAAATAACATGAAATGTTGTCATTTAAGATTTCCTGATGTACTTGATCCTGAATTGTACCCCACATGTCTAAAATAAAAGAAAAAGATTTCCTGATGATCAGGTCATTACCATGCTGAATGTTTAAGTCCACATTAAACCACAATCACTTGTGCTGGTTGTCGACGTATCATCTTATGGAAGAAATATATGACATTGCTTTTGAAACATTTCCCGTCAAAATATTTGAATGTAATTGTAGGTATTTTAAGTAAATACATGAGTATGATCTGGATTGAAAATTTACACATCGGCTTTAAGATCATCAATGCCAGTTCCGTTCCAGGTACAGTTTGCCAGTCAGGCAGAAATGTCCTTATATTATCCATGAAAATATCAGTCATTTTATCCACTAGAACATCCACAACCATCTTCTTTACAGGTGAAATAAGCAAGTCCATGGAAACCATAATGAGTGTTCTGTTCTTACTGGTTCAAGTTAAGTTTTGACTGTATTGCAGCAGAGTCAGGTTGCTTAGAGAAGTCAGCGCGATTTTTGCAATCCAGTCGGATGTAGCGCGGGCCAAGTGAAATGTGGCCTTTATAATGTCACGAGACTAGGCCGTGGCCAATGAGGGTGTGACACTGCAGCCAGCACCATTTTCAATCCCACATTCTAACCCAATCAAGGGCCACATTGGACCGGTAGTGCAAATGTCGGAGAGGCTGAGAGGTCTCAGGACCTTATCACATAATGATGGGAAGCATTAAGGGATATGACTCCAGCGTAGATTTTATCATGATCAAGTACACAGGACTAGAAAAGGAGAGTGTTGTCAAAAGCTTCTCTATATGAAGACAGAACACTGGGACACTTCTCTAATGCTGTGGTCAGCAGAATAGTGGCCCCTGTGTACTAGATCTAATCCCTGTGCCCCAAGGAAGTTACTTTTTGTGACAACAAGGTTTTTACAAAAGTGATAATGTTGAGATCTTCACCTTGCGAGATTTTCCTGGATTATCTGACTAGACTCTAATAGAATCATAAGTGTCCTTGCCAGGAAGAGGCAGAAAAAGATTTGGGACCAGAAAAAGAAGTCCATGTGAGCCTAAGTCCGGAGAGAAAGTGATGGGATGTGGGGCCATGAGCCAAGGAATGAGGTGGCCTCCCAGAGCTGGAAGAGGCAAGAGTTGGCGAACCTAGAGACCCTAATCACCAAACTTGTTCTAACTACACATGTACAAAAGATAAGGACTTCATAAAACGCTAGAGGTGCGCCATCTAGTGGAAGACAGATGCAGGCTGCTGTTAGCTTTGAATGGTCTCACCAGGAAACTGGACCCTGCACTCACCTTGGTATGTATCTACCTTGGGTCAGACTTTATTCTCACTATTTCCAAGTCTGTCACAAAGTCGGTGTGCATCCCTACAAACTCCACATACAGGACCTGGGAATAAGAAATAGAATTGAGATAGGAGCCACCGTACGGAGGGGCTGGCGGGAAGTCGGCAGCGCCTGCGCGGGCGAGTCCGGCCTTAGGGCGAGGATGCGCGCGCGCAGCACTTTCCGCCCAGCGGAAGTTTCCGAGGGGCAAATGAGAAGGTCACAGTCAAGATGGAGTTTCCAGCCCAGTGAATCCAAGGGCCAGACCGTGACCCCATAAAGCATGATTTACTTCTGTCCAGACTGTGGTAAAATTATCCAAGCAACGTTCAAATTCTGCCCCTACTGTGGAAAATCTTTTCCTGCAGAGGAATATGCTGGGTCCCCAATCTTTGCCAAGGCATGCATGTCGCCCTTTCGAGGCTCGAGGAAAGAGCTGAACTGCAGTTCTGAAAGCTCTCCCAAGAAGGTGAAATGGTCCAGCACGGTCACCTCTTCCCAATTATCCATCTCAGATGGTGACAGTTCTGAATCTGAAGATACTCTGAGTTCCTCTGAGAGATCCAAAAGACTCTGGGACAGACCCCTAACCTCCAAAAGCAGCCTTCAGGTGACCAGGTGCAGCCCGCAGACAACCAAGCACAGCCCTCAAACGACCAGGCAAAGTCCTCAGATGACCAAACAAAGTCCTCAGACGACCAGGTGCAGCCCTCAGACCACCAGACAGAGTCCTCAGATGCTGAAGCGGAGCCAGGTGACCACCTCACTTGAAGCTTTGCCTACAGGGACAGTGCTGACAGACAAGAGTGGGCAGCACTGGAAGCTGGTTTCTCTCCAGACCAGGGATGACCAGGGCATTCTCTATGAAGCTGAACCCACCTCTGCCCTTGCCTGTGAGTCAGGTCCCCAGAAACAGAAGTTCTCACTCAAACTGGATGCCAAGGATGGGCGCTTGTTCAATGAGCAGAACTTCTTCCAACGGGCCGCCAATCCTCTGCAAGTGAACAAGTGGAAGAAACTGTACTCAACCCCCCTGCTGGCCATCCCCACCTGTGTGGGCTTTGGTGTCCACCAGGACAAGTACAGATTCCTGGTGCTCCCCAGCCTGGGGAGGAGTCTTCAGTCGGTCCTGGACGACACCCCGAAGCATGTGATGTCGGAGAGGTCTGTGCTTCAGGTGGCCTGCCGGCTGCTGGATGCCCTCGGGTTCCTTCATGAGAATGATTATGTTCATGGAAATGTGTCAGCTGAGAATATCTTTGTGAATCCAGAGGACCTGAGTCAGGTGACCCTGGTGGGATATGGCTTCGCCTTCTGCTATTGCCCAAGCGGCAAACACGTGACCTACATGGAAGGCAGCAGGAGCCCCCACGAGGGGGACCTTGAGTTCATTAGCATGGACCTGCACAAGGGATGTGGGCCCTCCTGCCGCAGCGATCTCCAGACCCTGGGCTACTGTATGCTGAAGTGGCTTTACGGGCTCCTGCCATGGACAAACTGCCTTCCCAACGCTGAGGAGATTATGAAGCAGAAAGAGAAATTTCTTGACAACCCAGGGCCCTTCGTGGGACTGTGCGGTCACTGAATCAGGCCCTCAGAAGTAATCTTGGCCAGGGTTAATGACTCATGCATGTAAAATCCCAGCATTTTGGAAGGCCAAGGGAGGAGGATCAATTGAGGCCACACGTTCGAGACCAGCTTGGGCAACATAGTGAGACTCTGTCTCTACAAAAAATGTTCTAAAAAGCTAGTCTGTAGGCCCAGCTACTCAAAGGAAGATTGGTCAAGGAAGGTCAAGTCTGTAGTGAGCTATGATGGTGCCACTGCACTCCAGCCTGGGTTGCAGAGCGAGAACCTTCTAAAAACAACAAAAGAAGAAAAAGTACTCTTGGAGATTTTCTGTGTTGGTACTTGCAGAATTTTGTCAGTGTTTTAAAAATTGCAATAAAATACACATAATATCTGCAAAAAAAAAGAAATAGAATCAACAATCAGAGTTGTACTGATCTTATGTCTGGTATGGATCCTTGAGATCCCTACCTGTCAGATAGGGTATCAGACTCAGAGCTGGGCAGTATTGTGTGGTCTGACAGGATGGACAGACCAAGGGTGAAAAATTGTAAAGCTCGAGTGAGGATTCTAGCTGTCAGGCGTGATTGCTAGTAGGAGGCTCTCCTGGGCCATGGACAGGAGATTTATTGGGACTGGCTCTAGGATAGACCTGAGAACTGTAAGTAGGGGGTCCACCTACCCGTTAAAGGAAGAGCAGTTGAACTGGTGGGTGAAGTCGAAGGTGTCATTCTTCCAACTTGTAAGGATGTAAGGTGTGAGATGCAGACGTAAGGGAAGGATAAGATTCTTCAAGATATAGATTAGTATTATGGCATTGAGAGCAAGAGGAGGGCCAGATGTTCATGCAGACAGGGAGATAAGAGATTACAGGGGACAGAGAAACATATTCCTGTGGGGGCTGCAAGCCTGGAGAGCAAGGAAAGATTAGAGGATGATAGGATACCATAGACAGAGACCTTGAGCCAAGAGCACTAGGACATTTAATGGGATTAGACAGTCTGAGTGTGGGGGAGTCCGACTAGAAAATAATCTTGAACTGAGTTGTGAAGAAGGTGGTAACTGCTGAGTAGAAATGTTTGATTTTCTTTTGAGAAGTGTCTATTCATATCCTTTGCCCACTGTTTAATTAGGCTGTTTAAAAAATACTCAGCCTCACTATTCATCAGAGAAATGCAAATTAAAACCACACTGAAATACCACTTAACTTCAGTCTGGATGGCCATCATTAGTAACTCAAAAAACAACAGTTGCTGGAGAGGATGCAGAGAAAAGGGAACACTTCTACAATATTGGTTGGAGTGTAAACTAATACAACCTCTGTGGAAAATAGTATGGCAATTCCTAAAAGATCTAGCAATCGACCTTCCACATGACACAGCAATCCCCCTCCAGAAATGTACCAGGTGGAACTCAAATCATTCTACAAAAAATACCTGCACACACGTTTGGTGCGACACTATTCACAATAGCAAAAATATGAAACCAACTGTGCTGCCCATCTAAACTGAACCGGAATTTTAAAAATGTGATGCATATACATGATGCAATATTACGCAGCCATAAGGAAGGACAAAATTATGGACTTCACAGAAACTTGGATGGAGTTAGAGTCTGTAATACTCAGTGATTTATCACAGAAACAAAACACCGAATGCCACATGTTCTCACTCATAAGCAAATGATGAACATTTGCCATCATATTATAAGAAAGGGATTGGCAGTAGCCAGAAACCATGGGTGTTGGGGACACATAATATCAAAAAGAGTACATGATCTCAAACCAGGTTAAGTGAGGACCAAAGGGAGGCCCAAACTTTAACTGTATGATCACCACTTGTATACCTAATCTTGAGTGTACCACACATCTTTAAAATAAAATGAAATATTTTAAGTAATTTTTAAAAGAAGGACAAAATTATGGACTCTGCAACAACTTGGATGGATTTAGAATCTATCATACTCAGTGATCTATCACAGAAACAAAGACCTGAGTACCACATGTTCTCACTTATAAGCGGACCTTGAACATTTATCATAACAGTATGAAAAAAAGAGTTGGCAGTAATGGGATGCTTTCAGGAGAGAGAAGGGGTGGGCATAGAACATCAATAAGGGTACCTGATCTCAAAACAGGCGAAGTGGAGGCCAAAGGGAAGCCCAATCTTTACCTGTATAATAACCACTTATCTATCTAATCCTGAATTGTACCCTACATCTTTAAAATAAAATAAAACAATAATAATTAAAAAATGGTTGGTGGCAGGGCCCAAAGTCCACTAGAATTGGTTTTCATTGTAAATGCTGAGATTTACAGTGTCTACATCCAAAGTGTTTTATCCAAAGAAGCTGAGATGAGCAGAGCTTGCTTTTATTTTATTTTATTTTATTATAAAGATGTGGGGTACAATTCAGGGTTAGGTATGCAAGCATTGATTATGCAGTTACCCTTGTTGATGAGGTATGCCCCTCCCTCCACTAGCAGTTTCTCTCAACTGGCAATCTCACTCCCCCTCTCCTGACAGTTTCCCACTACTGCCAATCCCCATCTACAGTATTATAATAATTGTTCAAGGTCCAACCATGAGTGAAAACATATGGTACTCTGTTCTTTGTTTCTGTGACAGATCACTGAGTATGATTGACTCTAAAACCTTCCAAGTTGCTGTGAAGTCCTTGTGTTTGTCCTTCTTTATGGCTACATAATATCCCATTGTCTATATGTACCACATTTAAAAAATCCAGTCCAACTTCTATGAGCAGCATGATTGGTCATACGTTTTTGCTATTGTGAATAGAGCTGCAACAAACATACATGTGCAGGTATCCTTTTGGTAGAATGATTTTAGTTCCTCCGGGTATATTTCCAATAGGGGAATTGCTGGGTCATATGGAAGGTCAATTTCTAGTTCTTTCAGAAATCGCCACACTGTCCAAAGAGGTTGTACCAGTTTGCATTCCCACCAATAGTGTAGAAGCGTTCCTTTTTCTCTGCATCTTCACCAGCAACTGTTGTTTGTTTTCTTAATGATGGCCATTCTTACTGGGATTAAGTGGTATCTCAATGTGGTTTTGATTTGCATTTCTCTGATGATGAGTGAGGCTGAGCACTTTTTCCTGTGTCTGTTGGCTGCCAGTATTTCTTCTTTTGAGAAGTGGTTATTCATGTCTTTCATGTACCTTTTAATGGGGCTATTTGTTTTTTTCCTTTCGGTATGTTTGAGTTCCTTGAAGATCCTAGATGTTAGGCCTCTGTCAGTTATACAGTTGTAAACACTTTTTCCTATTCTGTGGGCTGTCTCCCTGATCTCCTGATGGTTTCTTTTGCTTTGCAGAAGCTCATTAGTTTGATGAGGTCCCACTTGACTATCTTATTTCTTAGGTATGGGAATTTAGGGTTCTGATCAGGAATTGTTGCCAGTTCTAATTTCTGTAAGAGTGTCTCCTGTGTTTTCTAAGATTTCTTATAGTTTGAGGTTTTACATTT